ATTGTCACCCATGTAAACGACACCACTAGCACAAGACTTGTAAGTGTGGAACCATTCCCAATGAGGTGTCATATAGAAGGAGGCACTTGAATCAAGAATCCACTGATTGCATAGTTCCACACGTTTTGAAGCAGTCAAGGCATCCCCGTGTTCTGCAAAATCAAGACTCTGTACAAGATTTCCTTGAAAATTGTCAGTATTGGAATCCTCACCTCTCTTTGCTCTACAGTCCTTCCTCGCATGCCCTGCTTTCCACAGTTCCAGCATCTCATTTTCTTCTTCCCTTTAGACTTGGATCTAGATTAATCTCCGAAACTTCTTTCAACAGATCTACCACGTGCATACATAGCATCTCCAGGACTGGATTGGCTAGATTTTCGCCTCATCTCCTCAGTTAATAGTGATGCTACAACAGAGTCCATATCAAGAACCTTCACATGGCTCAAACTCATAATCAGGTTATCCCAAGAGTCAGGCATAGAACATAGTAAGATACTTCCTTTCTCCTCATCATCAATTTTAACATCAAGAGACAGAAGCTTACTAGTAAGGGAATTGAATTCATTGAGGTGCTCTTGTACTGACCCTCCATCTTTCATCTTTAAGTTGTAAAGCTGCCACCTTAGAAAAATCTTGTTTGCCAGCGACTTGCCTTCATAAATATTCTTAAGCTTTTCCCAAAGCCCTTTTGCAGTTGATTCTGTCTCTACATTGAACAGAACATTGCTGTCCAGCGCCAGCTGCAAATTTGCCAAGGCCATCTCGTCCTTCTCAGAGAATTGCTTATCTGTCATTCCTTCAGGTTTCTCTTCTCTTAGCAAGAGAGCAACTGCACAACCATCCTTCACGAGCACGGCATGCATCTTCAATTTCCATAGTGCAAAATTTGATCCATCAAAACGTGGAATCTCAAATTTTGTACCACCACCTTTTCTTGCCATAATGATCAGCACAAACAAAGCCTTCTACAACCACAGCTCTGATACCAAAATGATAAATTAAAAGTAGATTGAGTGTAAAAATGGTATTTATGCATATAGCAGGAGAGGAACTAAATGACAGCAAATTGAAGAATTAGAAGTACAGTGACTGGAAACTTAAATAACTTTTATTGCTGAATATTGAAAGCAGAACAACTATAACAAGAAAATATGATGAAAAGATGAGAATTTGACACACAGTGCAACTGGTCATTCTCCTTATTTATAGACAGCAAAATAACAGAAGTTTGTTGTAACTCTCTACTAAGAACGTGGCTTCATATCAGATAAAAATCTGGTATGCTCCTGCAGCTCCACTTTATTAGGACTCCACTAACAGTCTTATTTGACTTGGTCTTCAGCAGATATACCAGCTTATTTATCTCTTTCAAGATTTGTAGATCTCCTCCTTCGACTAACAAGTTTCTAGTAAGCTTTTCTTCGATTTTCTTTTCAGC